ACAATCTTCATCGATTCAAAATCACAACGGAGCCACAATAAAGTAGACGTGAAAAAAATAGAAGGAGATTCGTTGGTGTTACCTGATTGTATGCATCTGGAATTAGTCTTCGCTTTTCTCCACCGCCGAAGACACGCCGAACGATCTTTCGGTAGGTGGCCCTCGATTCACTCCAATTCTTCATTGTTCTGTAAATGTTGTTGTTGATGTGTTGATTTCGCGATGCCGTGAGAGAGATGGAAGGGACGAACAGAGATGGCGAGTTACCTGAGAACGAAGAGAGATGCGGTTGAAACTGGGACAGAGAATGAGGTTTGAAGTTGGATCAGTGAGGTAGTGTCATGATGAAGGAGAGGCGGAGATGCCGTAGTTTGTGGTGGTACTCTGTCGGGCGAATGGATCAGAAAAAAGGAGGAGGCCGCCGTTCACATTTGAGGGAGAATGAGGAATGATTTCTGTTCATGGAAGGTGAAGGGTCACAACAAGTGAACCCTAGTTTTTACTCTATACGTTGCATTTGGATCTTATTGTATTTTTCATTGTTTTTAGTTTTATACTTTTAGTAATAATAAATAATGCTGATTAAAATAAAATAAAAAAACCTGGACTATAGATGGATCTCATTGTGATGTCTTGGACTGAAATCTTTAAGCCCACTGGGGTTTTTGATTGAAGCTTGCAAGCCTTGTGACAAAAAAAGCTGACTGAACCTTGTTATTGATGGGCCTAGCACCTGGTTTTACTACAACACCATCTGTTTCAGATTCACACCCATGTTCATTGTTTTTTTTAGATTTTTTTCTTTAATTCTTTTTTTAGATTTTTTTCTTTAATTCTTTTTTTATCAAGTTTTGCTAATAAAAATGGTGATGAAAATAATAGGAAAAAAACAATAAAAGGTAATATAATAGAATTTCTTTAAGTTTTTTTTTTTAATTTTGATTAGAATTTTCTATTATCGATTATGTTTAGTAATCATTTTGTTGCCCAGGTTTCGTGACTTGCTTTTACTTGTCAAGATTTGAGTCTTATACAAGTTTATAATGTGATATTAGGATATTCTTGATGCACCTTCCGCTTGTGATTTATTTTTACATCGATGATGCTTCGACGTTTGTTCTGAGTATTTGATTTCTAACTCTTTTCTTTGATTGGTGAAGCTTTTGCGAAGACCGTCGGGTTTCTTTGTTTTGATACGCTTTGCTACGGATTGGTATTCGTTTAGTATTTTCTCTTGTTTATCTCATTTCAACACTTTACTGCTTTCTAGATATCATGAGAAGAAGAAATTTTACTGCTTTTTAGATATTATGAGAAATAGGAAATAAAGAGCGTGCACTCGAAGTTGCTGTTTAAAGTCCTGTAGCAGACACTGCTTTCTGTATGTTATCCGTGTTTGTTTAAAATCCTACCTTTGAAGTAGGTATTCTACATGTGTGTTTACATTTGTGCCCGCATTATATTACAGATGAGAAGTCCTCAAAAGGAGGCGAGCAGAGAGGGTTAGTAGCCAATCCCTGCACATTCTAGTCTGTGTTATCCTTAGCTCACGTTGTATTTTGACGCTTTGGATTTGTGCAAATATTGTGTATCGAGTCGGTCATGTGGAGAAGGGTTTGTAATCAAACCCCACACTTTGTCAGGAGTTTGCAATGTCCATTTCCGATACTTCGCTACCCATTTGTTTGCTTCGGATGATCCGCTCCCATTAGCTAAAGCATTTCTTTTCTTTTTTTATTTCATTTGTCTCCCGCTTGTTTGCTTCGGGTGATCCGCTCCCCTTAGCTAAAGCATTTCTCTTGTTTCCCCCATCCTTTTGAGTTAGTATGTTCTACTCATGTTTGTGTGCTTTTGCCAAAGCACTTGTTTGCTTATTTGTTTTCTATACCATGCTTCCCTCATGATCGCTCGATTAGAGTAGCTTTCGAGCTAGACATTAGGATAGGTATCCATGCATGTTAACATAGGATAGACATTTCCCTTTCAAAACTCAACCTTAGGGTCAATCATTGTATGATAACATTAGGGATAGATTTAGGATAGTCTCTCTTAGATGTTTTTCTTTCTTTTGCATCCTTGCATTAAAACTAAAACCCTTTTCTTGACAAATGCATAAAACATCTAAAAACTTTCAAATCCTTCTTTATGGTAAAAAAACACCATCTAATTCAAATGTTTTTCTCGCCTGTGGGCATTTCACTGAATATAAAAAGGATGTGCTAAGTCTACTCTACGCAACACGACGCGTAAATCCCTAAAGGTCGGGTGGCACTATGTCTAAATTGCTAGAGCATGAATGTAGCATTATCCGCCTTCAGGCATTTTTCTTCGCAAATACCTTGTTAGGTAGGACATGTTAATTCACTTCTATGTTGACGCATAAGTCTCCAAAGGTCGAGCTGCGGCAGAAGGCGAAATTGATATTGTTCATTAAAAAACATAAACCAACAAAAACTTTTGATCCGAACTACGGCTGCTATGATTCCTTAAAAGGGATATGTAGGCATTAAGGTAGGGTCCAAGCGAGTACAACTTTATTTTTCCTACATTATTTTCTCTTTTCTATTACATGCATTCTCTCTTTGCATTTTCTTTTAGCTCTTAAGCTTAGATTTGAAATACGCCCTTTGATTAGAACAACATGAGTGGATATCGTAGAGTACTACAGGCGTGTGGGGTGCTAATACATTCCCCTCGCGTAACATACTCCTTTATCCGTATCTCTTGGTCGTTCGATCTTGATTTCACCCTTCTCAGATTTACTCGATGGTTATATTTCCCTTCCCGTGGGATAAAAAACATTCAATGGAGACTTCATTGATTTCATCTCGATGATTTCTTCAGCCGGTTGTTTCACTCCCAAATGATAGAATTGTAATCTCCCACTAAATACCATGGGTAAGAGTTATATAAGGCGACAGAAAGATCACTCCACAACCTTCTTCTTCTCACATAACAATTCGAGGCGTAAACTGCAGCAAAGCAAACCAAAGTATTATCGAAGATGAGATTAAACTAAACAAATTGGTCAACGATGGATAAGATCTGAGGGCTTAAAGACTTTCTACGAATACACCAAAGGTTAGGTGTCAAAAGAGGCCTATTATTAATTGCAAAGAGCTTCATGTCAAGCTTGTCCCAAACGCTACCGCCAAGCAATTTTGGTTCATCTAGGGTTTGGCTAACAGACAAATATCAGGTTTGCAATTTTTTAGAATATTTTTAAGCACCAATTTGGTAGGGGCGTTGGCAAGTCCCCGAATTATCCAGAAAATACATTTCATAATGAAGGCTTATGTGAACCAGCTTTGGATCGAGTTAAATAAGCTTCCTTTGATTTAGATTTATTTCTTCTTCTAGTTCCCTTTGACACAACTAACTGGAATTTTCTCTCATCCTTTTTTTTAAATTTTATGCTTCTATAGAAACTTCTTTTTCATCAACAATATTAGCCCACGACTCCTTAAGAAATATTGCATTTTGATCCTTTGTTGCATCACTATTATCCTCAATGGTTATTAATTGTGTCACACCTACAAAATCCGAGACTTCATAGCTTGTGTCTCTGTTACCCCCTCCCGATTTAGAACTGTGAACAGGTAATTCTTTGTCGGACTGAGCCGTATCAGGAATGCAGATGACATTACTAGTATTGTTAGCCTCAACCTCCTTGACCACACCACTAGTTTCTCCCCTTAAAGGTTTGTTTAGAATGTTCTGGTTTTGCCCCTTAGGATGATCTTTTATATTGCCAATCACCATATCCTCCCTTTGTAATTATCTTCTGCATGTTTCATCAGAACGCCCTAACGCTTTACATAAGTGACATAATTCTGGAACTCTCTTGTACTCTATATCCACAAAGAAAGCATATCCAACTCTCTCCACTAAAATTTGGTCTCCTAATTCCTTCAACAGATCAATATCAACTAACACCCGAACATGGTGCCCCAACGCTCTATCCTGAGGAGGCCTATTGGAAGTTGAGTCAATGCAAATAGGGGTTCCGAGATTACTAACAATCACAAAAGGGATTTTGGAATGCCAATATTCTTGAGATAGGCCATGAATTCAAACCCATGCCCAGGCAGATGTGTGGTTGACATTATTTGGAATGAAATCCCTTGTGCATGGGAACAACTTCAACAAACTAGGGTTTAGATTCCATGAGGGTATAACACGAACACGCCTCACATCCTCGATGTTAGAGAAATTGAACTAAAATAACCTTACCTAATGTTGTGATTCCCCATTTAGCAATCGAGTTCCAATGTTTTTTCAACTGAGCGCGCAATTAGACCACCGTAAGTGGGGAGGAACCCTTTGGCCAAATAATCCTTTCACGTAGATTGTGCTTACAAGATTCTAGCCCTAAAAGGTATTCATCTTCAGGGATTGAAATGGATAGACTATCTCCTTTGACGCACGGGTTCGGTAGTTGGCTAGTTGGTATGTTGCATACATTGACCAGAGCTTCAGCGAATGACTTATTAGGATTGCTCTACTTCATCAAAATCAGCTGCTTAGGTTATTGCGTGAAGTTTATGGAAAGAGGAAGTGAACTTGAGCTGAATCCATGGCATGAAATAACTAGGTAAACTGTGTTTTTCTTTTTCTCTCATGAAGTTCACCCATAGGATTAAGAATAATTAAAACATGATTTCTTAAAATTCATTTTGCCCTCCATAATTGATTTTAGGATGCTGGCTCTGCAGTCTGTTTTTGAATAAATTGGTTTTATATGATTTTGATCTATTCTAAAATTGACAAACAAAGTAACAATTTTCCATTTCTTTCAAAAAAAAGTCTCATAAACAAATAATGTGCCACCTTATACATTAACTTATACAATATCAAAATTTTCTATTTCAAAATCCGGAGAAGAGAAAAAATATTCATATTCCTCTAAGAACATCATAAATCTGTGTTGTCAAAAAATGTTTAATCCAAGTTTCAGTCATCATATTTTTGTCTAGTGCACAATGTATGATCTCTGGTATTCATAGTGATGAAAAAATAGGCACGCCGGGTAAGGTAGCACCAGCATCAACAATAAAAATATTTCCGGTCACATAAGCAGAAGAATCGTGAATTAAATACCGAACAACTGAAGTTAACGCTGGATTTGAAGTGCCATAATCTTTCAATGGTACCGTTTTTATGGCCACATTGTTTAGCCAATCTTTCTTCATCAAACTCTCAGTGATTTCCGATTTGAAAAGTCCGGGTGATATCGAATTCACTCTTATTTTATACGCCCCCAATTCCAATGCCATCACCTATTAATTTAAACAACATTTTAACATTAACAAACAGCGTGTTTAATTTATAAATTTGATTTAATTTAGACGTTAATTACCTTTGTTAGCATGTTTACACCTGCTTTTGAACATGCATATGCAGTAGCTCCAGGTAATTGACCCCTTTCTAAGCCAGCAATTGAAGAGATATTGATGATTGATCCTTTTCTGTTTGAATCGCGCATTAGTTTGCATACATGTTTTGACACCAACCATGTACCAGTTATGTTTGTTTTAAACACATTATTCCATTCTTCCTCAGACAATTCCAAAGGTGAATTAACATTTCCTACACAACACAACAATCAATCAAACAACATAACATGTGACAAAGAATTTCAAGTGTCCCTCAAACATATGGCTTAGGAATATCCTATTGTAGGCGAGTTCGAATCCACATTTATTCATCTAATAGATAATTAAATTTCTACGTAAATCTTAATTTAATTAGCAGAAATCAATCTTATTAAATTGAACGTCGTCGTCAGATTTAAAACTGACATTTACTTGTGGATCAAAAATTAAATATAATTTTTTTTTACAATAAATTACTAATTGAAAAATAGCATATGGTCAAATTTTCATTATGCATGGTTATAGCACCTCTACCACTAGACAATAATGCTTTATATTAAATTAATTAAATGTACAGCTCTGGACTATTAAATATAATAAAATCATTTTAAAATATGATGTTAAAAGTAGAGTATTATCGTTATAAAATAATTTTACAACATAATTTAATAAAATTTTATCATTTCATTATTTTAAAATTAAAATAACGATTTTGTAGAATACACGTCTTTTATTAATTAATAATTAAAAATATTTTATACTCTTTTAAAATATTCAAATTGATATTTCTAATAAGATTGTATTATCTTTGTTCATAATTATAAGATCCTTTTGAGTCTTTTATTTTAATCTTTTTTATAAAATTCTATTCAACTTTTAAAATGTTATTAATTTTTTTTGCAATATATAATAAATACTTTTATGTATACATTAATTATTTTTCTCTATTATAAACTTATAAAATTATACAAAATAATTAACAATTTATTTTAACAAAGTTTTTTTAATTTTCACAATTTACTAAACAGAATCTTATATTTAAAAAACGGAGAAAGTAATAGTTTTTGTGCCACACATTTTCTATTTTTCTATTGGAAAACGTCTGAATGAAGGTTGCATATCGCAATAAAGATTTCTTCACACATATTCAATGATCCATCATAATGTTTTTTAATGATTTCATAAATACGGACACGCAAAGCAAAACGTGTTGCCTCAAATTATAAATAGCTTTGAAAAAAAATGCTTTGTTTCAAATTTAATGAAATATTAATGTTTAATTTTTATTTTAGTTCTAATTATTTATTTATCATTTTTAATATTATTAATAAAATATAATTTTATTAATCCTCTCATAATTTATATTTTCTATGCAAAATTAACCAGAGTAGAGCAAAATATCAAAATATTCTATAATCTATAATTGAAAAAAAAAAATCCTAAAATATAAATTCAACGGTAGAAAACAATGTATCAGAATTATTTTATTTACCTCTGATACCAGCATTATTTATTAACACATCAATATGCCCAAAAGCTTCCCACGCTTTCTGCACATACTTCTCTATGGCGGAGCCGTCGGCTGCGACATCGAGCTCCACCGCAACTGCACGGAGGTTTTCTGATAAGTCACCATTGATTTCGTCACAGACAGACAGGAGGCGGTCAACACGACGAGCTGCCAAGACAACACGGCAGCTGGCTTGTGCGAGATCGAGACAAATATCACGGCCGATGCCGGCAGAAGCTCCGGTGACGAGGACAACTTTTCCGGCTAAGGTGTGCCATGGTTCCAGATGAGAAATCTGTGTTGACATGTTGAAGTGAAAATGAGAAGTGATATTAAAAATGGGTTTGGTCTGAATTTATTGACGAATTGACGAATGGAAAGTTCGGGGAATTGAAGTGCAGAAGACTCGTTTGGTGACAACTACCATGAAAATATTTTCTCTTTTATACTAATTTTTTTTTTAAATATTAATTATTATTATGAAATTTTTAAAATAATCTTTAATAAAAATGATGAAAATACTAAAAAAGATATTTTAAAATTTTAATTATTATCCTGAAAATTTGAAAATAATTTGTAGTAAAAATAGTAAAATGTTATAAAAAGAATATTATAATTAGAGATCGATAGAGTATATAATATAGAAATAAAATATCAATTCTTGTTAAAACAAATATATAATTTTGGTAGGACAAATTTTAATGTTAATAGTTGTGTGAAAAAGATTGAATGCCCCAGATCTGATTGTTTCTTTATTTATGTAAACCAAGATCTTCTCGAAAACAACGAAAACCTTGAAAACTGGATCTTTTAATATTGGTTCTATGATGGTATATCTTTCTTCTTTTTAGATGGTACTATTTGCCTTCAAAAGTTAACAAAAATGTAAAATGAGAGAAGGGAAAACTACTCTAAATTTTATTTTAAATAATCAAAATTTTCAATTTTAATATCTAATTAACCAAATTTTTTCCAAAATTTTCAATCTAACTTCAAATAAATAAAAATTAAAGAGATACGTCACTTGAATCGACATCTCTTATATTTATTTTATTTTTTTTAATTATCTGTGAATTTGATGTTACCTATATATTTACTTGTAGATTTATCTATGTTTGTCTACGCGTAAATTCATAAGAATATCTGCAAAAAAAATTCACAAATAACACCAAATTTACAGATAAATTCGCTGATAATTAAAAAAATAAAATAAATATAAGAGGCGTCAATTTAATTGGCGCTTCTTTTAATCTGTTTTTTTTTTATTTTAAACATTATTAGATTGGAAATCATAGAGAAAGGTTTTTAAATTAAAAACTGTAATTATTTATAAAAAAATTCAAACTACTAACATATCAATTAAGTTGACTTTGAATCTCTCCTTTCCTGCTAAGAAAAAAAGAGTAAAAATTAAAGAAGAAGATGAAATATAAGAGATAGAAGAAATTAATGAAAAAGAGTTGGGGAGAAAAGATAAAATTGCAGGAGTACTCAAAGTAAAGATGGCCTCTCAAAGGACAAAATTGCATTTATAATCTTTTTCAGTCTCACATGTCTTTCTTTCCTTTCACTCTCTTTTTAAGTATGGTCTAACATGCCTTTCATTCCTTTGACTTTAAATAGAACTTTTTTTAGATATTAGTTAGAGATATTCTCTCCGCGTAATAGTAGAGATTAATCTTTCGAATCCTATAGAATTATATAGACGAATTAATTTTTTCAGATCGAATCTAAAATTTCTGATTAAATTACAAGAGACTCATTTCATTTTATTCAAATCCTCTAAATAAGGAGAGAATTTTTTTAATTTGCATGTTTTCTATTCATAGGCTTTTTTTCTTCTTTATTCATTTTTCAACTAAATTTCAAAAAAAAATTACCAAATCACCTCTCACATCCCCACTTAATTTGATAAAATTTTATTAAAATATTTAGACGAAATCTCTAATAAAATAATTGAAAAATCCAATATTACTTAAAAAATCTGATAGTGTATTTTAAAAAATTGATGTGCATTTATACCAATTTTAAAATATATCAATGAGTGGAAAAACTTATCATTTTAAAAAAAAATTTGGTAGTTTATGTTGAATATGAAGAAAAAAATAAAATTAACACTATTGATTTTTTTCGAAAAATCCGATAAATCACCGCTCTTTTTAAAAAATTTGGTATCTCACTATTCTTTTTTGAAAAATCCGATAACTCAACTCTTTTAATTCGGGAAAAACTCATGGATTGTTTGAAAAATTCAATAAAAACTCATTGATTGTTTCAAAAATAGATAAAAACTCGTAGATTCTTTTAAAATTTGATAGTGTTATTTGGAAATTCTTGTAACTCCTAGCTTTTTTGAAAAATCTGATAGTGTTATTCAAAAAATTCGATAAAAACTCATGAAATTCGATAAAATTTTGAAAAATACCAAATATAATTTTTTTTCCTATAGACTATGAACTACGACATTTTACAAAAATTTGGAAAATTACCAAATATATCGGATTTATCAAAAGAATCTAGTATGCTAAATTCATTTTTTAAAAATGGTAAAAATGTATACCAAAATTTTTAACTGCACTACCGAATTTTTTAGTTATTCTACTAGATTTTTCGTGCGCACTATTATGCTAAAATGTTGTCAAGGAGTATTTTTGCCGGTCGTGCTAGATCAAATTTTGAAGGTGGCAGGATAAATTCTTCCATTTCAAAATATTCCAATTTTCCTCTTAATTATCAAATTATCTCATTTTCAAAAAAAAATTGAAAAGAGTAGGTAATGATATTATTAACTAAGATAGGACAATCGATCAGTTTGGGTCGATATCAAGCCCAAACTTAAATCCAACCTAAATTGTAATTTTATTCTAAAAGTTCAATTTAATGTTTAGTGGATTCGACTAAATCAATTTAACGGGTAAATCAGATGAGTTTGATTGATTTAATATTTATTAGACTAAATCCATAAAAATGATCATTTTTTATAAAATTCACAAATATTTATTTATTAATTTTAAAAAGAAAAAAATTTAAAAATTTTAGAATAACTCAAAGAAAAATTATTTTTTATTATTGTAAAAAAAATTATTACTCATGAACATTTCCAATATTTTTTATATTAATTTGACCATTATCATGCTATAAACCACGAACTAAACAACACTTAAATTTTCATATTGCATATCTTTGAATTCTTGTGAGTATAAAAATGATGATAACACGATAATATTATGAACCTAATTTTTATAATGGATCAATCATATAGTAATAAAAATAAATAAAATAAATATTAATTGAGTTCTGTCGAGTTTGGTTTCTAATGATTCTAAAATAATTATCTTTGTCCGATTGAATCAATCCTATACTACCTAAATTAAACAACTGGATCAATTTGATACCTAACCTGATTTGATTTGTTTGCATAAAAAGAACAATAAGCCGGTCAATTTCTGCGAACAGTTTAAATTGTTTGCCCCTAATGTTAGCTCCCCTTATAATTTTAATAAGATGCACAAATAGCCGAAGAGTGGCCTATTTAAAAAATTGTTTTAAATTATTAATCAATATAATTATAACATATTTAATTAGTATTTTAATTTATAATAAATTATTAATTAATGTTCCGTTCTGAAACCAGAGATGAGAAGTACAACGGAGGTGAGGGTGGATTGTAGCCTCCGATGTGGTGGAGTGGAGGGTTTGTAAGGTTAACACCGTAAGGCTCAAGTCAGTACATGAAGAAGAAGAAGAGTGAAATGAAATTGTATTTGAAGTTTGTTACCTTGTTTTGGCGCCTACTCTATATAAGGTAGTCTTTGGATGTGCTTTATATTGAGATATATTGAGATTACAAGGAGAATAATCTTCGCTAATTAGGAATATTCTAGAAGGAATTCGACTTTTATCAAATTATAGGTCGGGATTGGTATGTTCAGATTGAACCATCTAGGGTCTTGTTTGGCCGGCTCATAACAGTTGCCCTCAAAGCACTTGTTGTTGTATAGGTAGGTGGGGGCTTGATATTATGACTCCATATGACTACCACCTCCTGGTTATTTTGAGACAGATGAATGAGGATTGCTTCGGTTCCTTAAGGAACCATACATTTAATAATCCATACTTCAAATGTCTTCTCATAGATATCATCAAGATGGTTATTGGTAACCTAAGATATTTAGTGTTGTGTGTAAAAGATTTAAACATTATTTATGAAGTCTTTTTTCCTTCTAGAGTGTTGTTTTCTTTTAGGGAGAATAAGTATCTTTTCCTTTTCTTGAGTCTCCTTTTTCTATTTTAATAGTTTAACTATTTTTCTCCTTTTGTGTTTCATTTCCTATAACTGCAAAGTTAGTGTATTATGAACAAGAAATCCCATAAAAGTATTAATAAATCTCAAAAGTATATTCCATCTTCTTGGATCGATCCTGTTTATTCTTCCATTATTTCTAGGCTTTACAGTGACTTACTGGGGAGATGAGATTGGACTTGCTATCTGGTCGTAATACAGGCTTTGCAATTTCTCAATTCTTATCTGGTCGTGATCCAGGCTTCAGAAGTAGTTAGGTGGTTATCCGGTCGCATCCGGGCTTCCACTTGAATTTAAGGCATACTAATATCTGGTCGATTTCCGAGCTTCATAGCAATCGGCCGAGTGAACTGCTATTTAGTCGAATTCCAAGCTTCACAATACCTTATACTGTTATCTGGTCGTGATTCACTCTTCATAGTGTCTTATACCATTATCTGGTCGATTCCAGGCTTCATGATATCTTGTATTGCTATATGGTCGATTTCCAGGCTTCACAATAACTTGCTGAGGGTTAAGCTGTTTTCCGGTCGATTTTCGGGCTTCAAAGCTTGTATTTAAGATATACCATTATCTGGTCGATTCCAGGCTTCGTAGTATTTTGGAGAAATCAAGATATTATCCGGTCGATTTCCGGGCTTCATAGCTTGAACTGGAATAGAAATCCTAGTATTGATTTGACTGAACCAGAGAAAACTTGTGAGAACTTGATGGTATCTTTCCTTGAAAGGTAAAGAGTTAGTCGTATGTGTGATACGGTGGGAGAGAACTGACTGTTTTTTGGAATGCTGGTTCGCGTTTTGCGTTTGTTTTCGCAAAATGTCGCGGTAAGCAAGAGTCGCCACCGTCTTTTATTTTATCCAACAAGGAAAGGAAAAAAGCACAGAAAAATTCCTTTTTCGAGATGTTTCTCGGGTCTGGGGGGTAGATTATAGAAAGGGAAGGTGCTAGCACCCTTTCTATCTATGGTTATCCACGGGCTCTTAGGTACTTGCTCATTGTGT